AATCAAAATCAAAAAAAAAAAAGAAGAAGAAGAAAAAGTACAGCCAGAATGGTCCTTAGAAGTGAGAATGAGCAGACTTCATCTCACATACTTTGGTTATATTGTGGGAAAGGACCAGTCCCTGGAGAAGGATATCATGCTTGGTAAAGTAGAGGGTCAGCAAAAAAGAAAAAGACCCTCAATGGGATGGATTGACACAGTGATTGCAACAATGACAGTGGCTGGACTCAAGCATAGAAAAAACTGTGAAGATGGTGCAGGACTGGGCATTGTTCCATTCTGTGGTACCTAGAGTTGCTATGAGTCAGAGCCTACTGGATGGTATCTAACAAAATCAAGGGGTGGAGTTCATAGTTCTGAATGGAATAGTTAACAAACGCCTCCCTGAAAAGGTGACATTTGAGCAAAGCCTTGAAGGAGGTGAAGAAGGAAGCCATGAATAAAGGAGGAAAGGAATGGGAGAGATAGGAAGTTGTCCAAGAAGAAAGAATGACAACCATAAAGGCCTGGCATGTTCAAAGAAGCAAGAATGGCATTGGCTAGCACAGATGAGAGGGAAAGAAGAGATGAAGTCAGAATGGTAATATGGGAAGCAAGATGGTAGGGCTTTCTAGGTCATTATGAGGACTTTGGTTTCTACTTTGAGTGAGCTAGGGTGTCACTAGAGGGTTTGAAAGGAGTAATCTGACTAAGGGCTGAAAAGGATCACTGGTGCTTCTCTTCTGAGAAAACTTAAGGGAGAAGGGGGGCAAACAGAGAGACCAGTCAAGAGGCTGCTGCAGTAATCTAAGTAGAAGATGGTGGAGTAAGGTAGGTGCAAAGCGGGTGATGAGAATGGTCTGGTTCTGGATATATTTTGAAGTTAGAGCCAACATAATTTTCTGAAAAATTGAATGCAGTTGTGTGAGGAAAATGGAAATTAAAGATGATGCCATGACCTTGAACCTCAGCCACTGGAAAGATGAAATTGCTATGAATTGAGCTGATGAAGCTGGTGGGTGGAGTACATTGGTAAAGAGGGTGAGAATCAGCAGTTAAGTTGGAAATTCCCAGTAGATATCCAGATGGAGATACCAAGTCAGCAAGCAGTTGGATATGTAGGAGAACAAGGCTAGGAAAAAAAAGGCTGCAAACAGGTAGAAAGAGTTAAAAAGAAGAAAGAAAAATATTTGGACAGAGCTTGTTACTGTGTGGAAAAAAAAAAGCAAAGATACTTTTTTTTGTTATTATTATTGGATGTCATTTGTGACTTTAAAAAAAAAAACTCACTAGAATTTTGGTGGTAAAAATCTTCAATACAGTTATCAATACCCATATATTCAAGTAAGGTTCAAGGGCACGGAGTGCTTCTGATCTTGTCCAAGATTCTGTGGCTTGTTACCAAAGTGGCAAGTTCTGACTACCCTATAGGATGCCCCAGAGATCAGGAAAAAGGCTGCCACCTGGCCACCCTCTCCTGCAGGGAGGAGTCAGGTTAACTGGGAAGGAGGGAGCTGTTCCCCTTCCTCCTAGGTCTGCCTCTATTCTAATGGACAGATGCAATCCTTAACTTCTTCAAATTACAGATTGTCTCATTCATGAAATTGTATTTGGCTGTTTGCTTCCAGAAGATATGTTTCCCTTGGATGCAAGCTATTAAACCTAGCTTCAGAGTTAGAAGCTTCAGAGAGAACTATGATCTGTGTGGTATGATTTGACTGAGTATGATTTTTTTCCTCTCCAGATTCTGAAATTCCACCATTAGCAAGAAAGGTCCAAGTCAAATGCTTAACATCGAGTGCTTAGTATTGGAAATATCAGAAAGTTAGCCAATGGGGAGAAGAGCAGCAATAGATAAGAACTAAATAAAACCCATTGCCATCAAGTAGATGGTGACTCATAGTAAGCCCTTGCCACTGCCATTGAGTTGATCCCTTTCATAGTGACCATATAGGACAGAGTAGAACTGCCCATAGGGTTTCCAAGGCTGTAAACCACATCTTTCTCTCCTGAGAGCAGCTGGGGGGTTCCAACTGCCCTTTTGGTTAGCAGCGTAGCACTTTAACCTAAAGGTGGAGACGTGGTTAAAGCCCTAGTTGTTGTTGTTATGTGCCGTCCAGTCGGCCCGACTCATAGAGACCCCTCCTTGGGTTTCCGAGGCAGTATCACTCCGGAAGTAGATTGCCCAACCTGGCTTCCGAGGAGTGGCTGGTGGGTTTGAACCTCCAGCCTTCTAGGCTGCTAACCAAAAAGGTGGTTCAAACCCACCAGCAGTTCTCAGGAGAGAAAGATGTGGCAGCCTGCTTCCCTAAAGATTTACACGCCTGGCAACCCTATGGGCAGTTCTACTCTGTCCAATATGGTCACAATGAGAAGGATCAACTTTATCCATTTCACCACCTTTAGGAAGGAAGATTGGGCTACTTCTGTAGTGATGTTGTTGTTGTTGTTTGTTATTTGCCATCGAGTAGGCCCGACTCATAGTGACCCCTCCTTGGGTTTCTGAGGCAGTATCACTACGGAAGTAGGAATGCCCAACCTTCCTTCCGAGGAGTGGCTGGTGGGTT